TCTTTACCTCTGAGTCCGTGGGATGTACACTGTCCCCTTTTCCTTCTTTACTGGGAAGATTGGCAGACCATACACTGGACCCCCACAGGATCCAGTGACAAACCCCTTGGTGTCACCTGGCACCCTCCGAGGCTGCAGGGAGTGGCAGAGTAGGGGTTAGGGTGCCCCTGACTTGGGCTGTCGGTGGCCTGGGAGGATGAGCCACTGTGCTGACTGGATGCCTGCTCCTTTCAGGTCCTGAGTGGGTCTTTGAATGGCCCTCGTTTCAGGGACGAGGAGCAAGTATCTTAAGATCATCTTGTTATGTAACTTTGCTCCTTAGAGAAAACTCTGTTTTCTCCATTGTGGCCAGTCTTCAGGAAATGTGTGTTACTAAGAGTAGTAACTTTTATTTTACTCATAGAAGTAATGGCGTGATTTTGTTTAAAGTCATAATATACTCTGGAAAAAGGAAATGTGTCCATTTCCGAGTTTGTTGCAGTTAACTGTTCTCTCAAAAATATGCAGTCATGTGAAATGGGTGGATACACACAACTGTGTCGAAATAAGAGGTCAAATATCCCGTTTTTGATTTAGTAAAGTAATAGATGTGTATACTTCTATTTTAATAGTTCATCAGGGTAGATAGGTAAATGACTTAGAGCTAAGATCACTTGCTATTTTCCGTTTGCGCATCTTTTATGGGAAGCAAGTCTGTATCAGCTCTGTCCTCGTCCCTAACCTTTTCCACTTTGGGAATGGTGCATCTGATGCCTGAGTACTTTTGCAAAATTACTCCTTGTAAATGGAAGAATTTATAATAGTGTACGTCATAAACAGGGGACACCTTTTCGTATGACTAGATGGATCCACAGAGTTGTCCAGGGGGCGAAATAGGAACAGTGGGACATGCATTAAACTGTACAAGAATGAAATTGTCTTTTTGTTTTTATGGCTAATATGCTGTATGTAGCTTGTTGGTTTAATAAGTAGTGAAGGTTTTAGGACTCAAGGCATGTTTTACCTAAAACTCAGGGGCTTTGGTGACTCACACAAACATCAAATTTTACTTAGTTGGCACACACATCAAATTTTACTTAGTTGTTCTTAGGTGATTGTCGGTCTTGTTGACGTTTCAAGAGTAGACAAACTTGGATGAAGTCATTTAAGAGTTCAGTTCTCTCATTGCACATAGAGAGCATCTGGGAGGTGTGACATCTTTAGGAAAGAGTTCACATGATTAACCTTGTGACCTAGAACGCATTTTATATCCCCTCCGAGTCTTATTCCTCAAATGGGGCAAAGTGGGGATAATAATCTATTTGACAGTTATTGTATTATATTTTGTTTAAAGTAAAATCTAAACTCTTTACCATGGGCTAAAAGATTTTGCTTGGTCGTGCAGAAATTCATAGGGTGGGTTTTAAAATAAACTGGTCTTTCTTGCCTTATCTGTAAAATCGTGCTTTTCTCAGCATTGGTGTGAAAACTAAATGAGATAATGCATATAGATGTACGAGTTCAGTGCCTGGAATATAACACGTACTAATAGTAATAATTAGCTTAAAATATCCTGTGATCAGTTAAAAGGAGTGTTCTGGTTTATCAGCAGTGGCTATGTAAGACTCGGTCTTTTTTATTAAATAAGCCCTGTGTGAGGAAAGGTTGAGAGACCAAAGGGACGAGGAAAATAGAAATAAAGGAAGAGAGAGAATGGCAGTCTGCAGAAGTATTCACAGTGCCCGCCGCTGGAGTGAGGACCGCACGTGGTCACGCTGTGAGCTGCTGGATTGCTCGGCTCTGGGTCATTGTGGCCACTGCCGGGAGGTCTAGACCAGAAAAGGTAGCACATCCGGCGTCTGCGAGGCCCATGCTCCTGCCTTCACGCTATTTTAATATTCTTTTACCACTCTCAACAGCTATCACACTGACATTTTTTCTTAAAATTATTAAAAGGGCCTCACACTGGGAGACTATGTTTGGGGAGCGGTGGCTGTCCCATTGTCCCTGGGAGAAGACTGTTGAGTAGAGAAGAAAGAGAGGAAGAAAGAATGAAGACACTTCGGACCTCTAAAGGCCGGGGAGACAGCAGTTACCTGAGCATCACCAACCCTGAAGGTGCCACTACGCCATCCTGAAGTTTCCCAGCAGGTAAATTTGGTTATCTAAAGAGGCGTCTCTGTATACAGCAGTTTAGTGGCTGTTTGAGATTGTATTTAATATACACAGTTGTGTTTAAAATGCTTTTTCAGAAGGCAGAGGAATATATGGCTCCTATTAGATAAGATTTTTGCCAAACACAATTTTAAGAGTGTGATGTTATTCTTCAGAACTGTTCAGAGAAGATGTATTCATGGAGCGCTCTAGGAAGCCCGATATTTGGGGTCGCTTACAGCTGGTACTTACGGCCAGCTTCGGGCCACACCGGTAGCAGGCTGGATGGTTGAAGCAACAGGATCAATACACTTTTAAAGCAAGATGCATTCTTACTGGCAGACGTGTTACTTTGTATGATTTTCCTTTTGTGAAATTTATTTCGATGTTTATAATAAGGTTTTTGTTATTAAAGTTTCATTTTGGTTTTAAAGGAAATAATTTCCCTTTGACAGTCATTTTTGTCTATTAACATTGCTTTGAAAGTGAACACAGACACAGGGAATAGCATTATTACTAAATATCACAGATTGTCAGAATAGGTAAGCCTGTACCAAACATAGTCATGTATTAGGATTTTGGTGATTTTGTACATTTGCAGAATTACAATTACTGCATTGTAGAGTTAGAAGGAACCTTCTAGTTATTGACTAGCTCCATTGTCCCACAGATGAGGAAGAGATTGAGACTGAGGGTGGTGACATCACCTGCCCAAAGCCACAGGCCCTGTGACAGATTTCAGAATGGAGTCGTGTTACTCCCAGGAACTAGGAAATTTGGGTTGGTGTCTTCATGGAGAGTGTCAGAGTTGAGCTGGCTCGCGGGGTGACCTGCGTTCGATTGGGAAGAGCTGTAGGTGGCAGAGACATTACCTGAGACCAGGCCAGGCAGCAGGAGCTGGGGCGTCAGCCTAGGGATTCTTGTCTCCTCTTTCTCTGTGTCTCAGTTTGCTTTGATCTGATGGAGCTCACACTCCTAGTAGCTTCCTGGACAGGCGGGGGGCGGTATGTGTGTGCGTGCGTGCGCACGCGTGTGTGTGTGTGTGCGTGCGTGCTCGAGACCTTGCAGGCCAGAAAACACCTGTATTCTAAGTCTTTGCTGGGCGGTCTGGCCGTGTGTAGGGGTCTGGGTTACGCCTTGGTCAGGGGAGGGTGGCGGAGTAACTGAAATCCCCACACGAGCAGAGGGTTCTCTCTCACTTTCACGGGGTCCGCCGTGGCCTCTTCCTTCGGAGCCAGTCCGCTTTCCCCTGCAGTTTTCCCATCACGACACCCCCCGCTTCCGGGTCACCCCAGCAGACGCAAAGACGGCGGACAGGCCACTGGCTGGCACTTAAATATTTGGCACTGAAGTGACATGTGACTTTTGCTCTCAGTCCATTGGCTAGAACCAGTCGTATGCCCCTGCAGAAATGCCAAGAAATACAGGCGCACACGAGACGTCGTTGATGATAGACGCGTGCCACACCGAAGTTCATTTTCCGTTGGAGTTTCGAAGGCATTGCTCCACCGGCTTCCCGCGCTGCCACTCACTCACTCGCCATTTCTGTCTCGTCGTCCGTATATCATTTCTTCCGCTTTCTAGAAGCTTGATAGCACTTCTGTATTATCTCCCAAATCCTAAAATTTTACTGTCACGTGCCGAGTATTATGTTTTTCTCTTGAGCATCTCATGAATCCTTACAGTCTGTAAACTTGTGTTGTTCAGTTTTGAGGAAATTTTAAAAATTTCTTGCATCATTTCTTCCCCTCCATATTTTTCTTTTCCTGGCTGAAGCTCTTTGTTGGATGTTGGACCTCTCGAATTGATTTATCGATTCACTGTTTTTTAGGTTTTCTATTCAGAACAGTTTTTTAAACTTTTATCATTTATTTGGTGCCAGCTTTACTCCCGGGCCGTGAGCGTCTGGGATGTCTTTTCTTCCGTGCCGCCTCCGCTTCCGGTTGGGGCGCAGCCTGCTCCGTTCCAGTGCGGGTCATCGCTGTGTAGCACGGAGAACGCGTGTCTGGGTTACGGAGCCACGAGCTCTGTAAGTTCGGTGTCGCATCTTGGGGAATTTGTCCACCTGGGGGTGCTCAGTGACCAGAGAGTCCGCATCTAAACCCTAAGTTCAGCTTCACCCTCTGCATTTTTAAGCACGTGCAGCAAAATTCAGCACTTTTTAGGCCACCGACCCTGCATCCAGCCACACGCTCCGCCTGGACGTACCCGCCAACGCCACCCCTGTGGCGACGGAACGGCACACATCGTTAAAGTGACATCCTTCAGATACTCGGTGACATTTTGGATATGCATGCCCTTGCCGGCCTGGACAGTTTCACGATTGTCTTAGAGTGAACACAAAGATTCGAACCTCTTGATTTGCATGATTTTGTGGGGGTTTCTGGGTCAAATGGATAGCGAACCATTTTCAGAGGTCACCTCAGGCCACTTACGGGAAGAGCGCTTATCGATTTTTTTAAAGTCAACTTCCCTTTTTTTTTGGTTCTTTTTCTTTGGGGAAATTTTCTCAGTGTTTCTTTCTTTGAATTTTTCATTTTGGCTGTAGGAGTTTTTGTTTCCTAACTGTTCTCTCCCCACTTTTAAAATAAGTAGCATATGACTCTTATTTCAGATTTGTGATACCTTTTCTTAGGCTTCTTTTTTGTTGCCTTCCCTTACAATAGGCTTAGCTTTCTCCAGTTTGTCTAAGCCAGTTAACACTGTCGTCACCTCTTGTCATTTGCTTTCCAGTTTTTATTGTCCTCGTGGGTTTATTATTATTATTATTGTTATTATTTCGGATAGTGGAGATAAATACATGTTTTATAAGAGGCTCATCCAAAGTTTTTTGTTCTTTTTAATAATTCTTGTTTGTTTTGCCAGCATCACTGACTAGTAAAGCCTTTTACTTTGGGGAAACCCACATCTAATTTTTCTCTAAGTAAAGGTTTTCCATTAGTGTGTCATGAAGGTATACCTGTCACTAAGCTCTGTGTAACTTAATTATAAAAGGCCTGCTGATCTGTGGTGGGTAACAAAATATTTTAAGTTGGATCATATTAAAAACATCAGGAGGTCTTGTGTTTGGCAACCAAAATAAGTGATTACTTGTGACAGTTATTTTACAATGCGTGTAGCGCTTTCCATTTTGTAGGATTTTTATATCGCTTGCTTGGTAGGATTGTGTTACTAATTTGAATAATTATTGCTCTCCAGGATCCCCTTTACGTCTGAAGATCAGTGAGTGAGATTTATGTTTGCTCTTAATACATACTTAGTAAATCTTATGTGGATTGCTTTTTGTATCCCAAACCCGTTATTCTTAATTTCAGTGTACTTATTATAGAAATTGAGGAAAGGTAATTTTAACTGAAAGCTCATGTTCTTTAACTCAAACTGACAGAAAAACTCTTACACGTTCTATGCAAAAGCATTTGAATAACTGACAAATTGCTTTTTAAATTAGAGCTTTGTGTTAAGATCTGAAGGCTGAGAGCATTCAAAGAAATTGTGTCACTTTTCAATTGTTTCTATGTGTATGTTGCCTGTCGAAGTTAAAACATTTTGCCTCAGTAGTTCAATATTTAAGGGATTATGTGTATCAAGAGATGAAAACATTGAAGAACAAAAAGCAGAGAAGCATCACTGTGCTGTTTGCTGCGGCAATCCCCCGCCCCCGCGGAAAGGAGACAGAACAGCAGCCAGGTCTTCGGGCCTACGTAATTGTCAGTGTTCGTCAGCAATTCCCGAAGTATCTTCTACCTACTAGGTAGTTTGAACAGTGAGGTCATTCTTTCTCATAGGCAGTGAAAGTGGTCAGATTGTTTAGGGAATGTGCCGTAATGTTTTTAGCTAAAAAACTGGCAAGTGGCTAGAAAGGTAAAACTCTATACGTCAAAAATGTATTATGCATATATAAAGAAAGTGATACTGCTTTTTAAATCCGACATGTTAAAATCTGAATCAGAAAATTAAAGAGGAGTGAGTTTATTTCACTAATTCTTATAAACCGGCCCCATTAACCTTTTACCTGGTTGAATTTATGACTATTTTATAATCAATTTAATAAGAACGTGTTAAACACAATTATAGGAAACGATGCTTAGAAATGCTCATGTAGAAGTTCTCTGTATGGAGGTTAAATTTCTGTCTGCATGTTTTTATTCTCATTGAATCCGATACTTGCAGAGCTGGGTGTGTTTTAGAGATCAGCTGCTTTTTGTATGGGAAAAGCAGCTGGAGAGCTTTCAGTCCGTGTCACACAGCAAACTTCTCGCCACCCTGTCGTCCTGTGTCAGTGGCCTACGAAATGGGAGTGAATCACTTCAAAATTTATTAGAGCTTTTCCTGTAATTATACATTCATTCTTAAAATTTATTAAATTTTAAATCACGTGACAGCTTTACATTCATTTTTCTTAACTTGGTTATCTTTAAGTTCTTCATCCATCTTTGTAGCCATGCAAGTATTCGTATTGCTTTTTAACATAAAACTTACTGTGGAAAGATCTAGAGGCCTTAAAAGAGGTCAGAGCGAGTCTGTCACAGTCACCGTGCTTCACTCGTCGAGAATGGCGGGCTTGCCCCACGTGCAGGCTGACGGGTTGGCCTGAGGCGCTGCTTGCTACTGCCCTAAGACCTGAGACCCCCGAGCGGGGGACAGAGGACCCGGATTCCGCAGGCGTTGTGAAGGTAGCTGAGATGGGGACTTGGTGACACCCTGGATGTGGAGTGAGGGGGCCACGGAAGACTCCGGAGGCTCTGCTCTGAGCGGTGGAAGGACGGAGCAGCCCCGACGAAAGTGGGAAGGACGGCAGGTGGAGGAGGGGCAGGAGAGGCCCCCGGGCTCGTCTTGAACATGTCAGGCCTCTTGTCCGTAAGACAGTGCGTGGCAGTGTCAAGAAGGGACTGTCTTGAGGCTAAATAGAGACAGAAATTTGGGGGCGGGTGGTGCATCAGTGTGATTGAAAGCTTGAGAACGAGTGAAGTCGCTAAGGGGCATGGGTGGACAGAGCA